TAGTGATAAAGAAAGATTATGTGATGCAAAATATGACTATTTTCTGCAGATAGTTTTCAATCTATTTTCGGCGTCTGAACTTTCACTACCCCGTATATGGTGTTATATACGGGGTCAGTATCTACAACTATGCCGTAGTCGCTGCACCTGACATCCGCCAACAGGGATATGGCCCACGCCACGTCCCTATCTACTAACAGCCTCATAATTATCGACTTGTCAGTACCATTTTTGAAAAGTGAAAGACGTGTAATTTTTTTACCTTCTAGAAAATGAAGATCTCTAGAGATACATTCACAAAGTTGTTGTAGGGTGGAATCGAATAGAATTGAAACGTGCCCGGTAATGAACCCTTGATAATTATTGTGCTCCTCCCAACTAAAATCGTGGCTAACAATGATCGCATAATGTTCTCGCGTTGATTTATTTAATTCTTGAAAAAATGTAAAAATAAAATGGGTGGGGATTAATGATACCTTGTGTAAGAATATTAAATGAAGATCTCTAGAGATACATTCATAGAGTTGTTGTAGGGTGGAATCAAATGAAATTGAAACATGCTCGGTAATGAACCCTTGATAATTGTTGTGCTCCTCCTAACTAGCTAACAATGATCGCATAATGTTCCCGCGTTAATTGATTTAATTCTTGAAAAAATGTAAAAATAAAATGGGTGGGGATTAATGATATCTTGTGTAAGAATATTAAAGAAACATTGTATTTAAGGTTGCTGATTACTGGAATGTCCAAACCAATTAGTTAGGTTTGTTTAAAAAAATTAAATATATTTTAAACTTGTTTCAATCATATATGTAGATTTGGTGGATTAAATTTTGTGGAAAGATTTTAGGAATTATATAATTTTGTAGTTAAGTGTGGTTTCAATATTAAGTATGATATATGAAGATTTTGTGGAAAGACTTTAGGAATTATGTAGATTTTGTAGTTAAGGTGATTTCAATATTAACTCAATAACATTGCTAGTTTAGGAGAGATTTAAGGGAATGTAAGAGGCATAAAACATAGACTGCAAGGGCATGAAATGTGTAGAGGGATAAATAAGGAATTATACAACTCTCCTAAAATCTAGGAAACCATCCTAACTTTGGCCTAAACAATTAATTTAATGACATTTAGATAATGAATTAAAACGTTTCTCATAAACCATTTCAAAATAAGACATAATAAAAAATATTACTTATTTTTGTTTTATAAATACGTATTTTTCTATTTTCATTCTCACCCAGTTTTGGAGATTTTATAGGATAAATTTTGTCTAAGCTACCACCAGATTAGTGTAGTAGTAAATTTTCCAATTTAATTACAATCTTTACTAATTTAATTTTAATATCCAATTGTACGATGGACTCGTTAAATATTTTACAGGTTGTCGTGGCCTCTCTCATTCCCTACACATAAAACCCACGCCGTACCAACATCCAATCCTGGAAATCAAAAGAAAAAAAGAAGAGAAAAACATCCAATCCTGATCCAACGGTCATGATTTGTGTAAAATATTCACCGTAACTTTGTTGCAGTGTACCCGGCTGCACACAAACATAACAAAAGGTCAAGGTGTTTGATGTTGATCATGTTTCTTGTTTCTATTTTTTTAATTTTTAATAAAAAATAAATAAATTACATGATCTTAACTTTCAATAATTCAAATATGATAAAATAATTTTTTAATTTATGTTCCGTAATAAATTGGAAATAGAAACAATAAAGAATTTTTTTTTGTTGTTTCAAAATTTGTATACAATTTTAAAAATGTTTTCAGAGAGAAGAGAACAAACACATTTAGTAATGTTTTCATTTCTATTTCTTCATTTTTAACAAAGAAAAATAAATTACATTGCTCAAAAATCCATAAATTCAAGAATGATAAAACTAGACTATTATATATGTTATGAAATAAATTAGAAATAAGAATAATAAAAATTTATTTTTATTGTTCCTAAAATTTTTATATAATTTTGAAATTATTTACAAATTTTTATATAATTTTAAAATTATTTATGTAAAATGAGAAATAAATATAATTAGTTGTCCTAATGTTAGGTTTTTTATAATAAAATTAGAAAGGAAACGACATCAAACGCCCGTAAAGGAAATTCTTACCTGCTTACTATTAAATATTTGGCAACATTATTATTTAAAAAAATTTATATTTTTACATTTCTCTTTATTAATTATCAAACATTTAATAGGGCGGAGGATAAGACTTGAAGCAAGTATTTGTGACACGTAATTGCAAAATATTTAAATTAAAAGGAAAATTGGAATCGAGAAGACAGAAAACATTACCGTGTCCTACAGTTCTTCAACCCTTCTAAAACCCCAGTTACTCGCGCAGGCACTCCTTTTCTCCCTCTCTCTCATTTCTCTTCACTTTCTCCATTTCCGGCGCACGCTCTCTTCTCCGACCAACAGTAATCCTCTATTTCTTCTCTTTTGCTGTTTCTTTTTCTTTCGCAAAATCTTGTACTGATTTGTAGGAAACTCGCTGCCCCGAGGGCCTATGGCTGTATGATCTTTTCAAAGTTTATTGGTAGCGTTGATTATGATTTGTTCAGTTTATTCTAGGGCTGATCGGATTTGTATACTTTTTTTTTTTCGTTATTCTTGATTAATTTGCTCAATCACTTTTTTACTTTCTGATTTTCATTTTGAAATTCCGGTGGAGGAAGTGAAACACGAGCGGTTGTGCATTTTTTAGATTATTTTGCATGTCCAAAATGTTCGAAGAGTCTTCGGTTTAGAATATTCATTTTCTACGTATTTGATTTTTCGGAAGAACCTACTTTGCTCCACTGGATCATACGATTGGCCATTTAATATTTTTTTAAAATGTAAATGTCATACTTATAAGTTATTCAATTATTGAGTAGACTCGTTAAATCTGTTGTCTTCTTATATGGAATTTGAAAATTATGTCCAACAAAAACGAGTCATTAAATGTGATGGTGAAAACTCTAGATGGTGAATCTAGGTTCAAAATGCAGGCCTTCTTGTTGAAGTAATATTTTATGAAATGAGATCGACTACATAAAGAAGCAAAATTATGGAGGTGGTTTTGAAACTTAAACTTATGGTATATTAGAGGGGGCAAATGTAGAGTGTATCTTTTCATTTTTATTTTTATTTTTTTAATTAAGAATTCTTATTAGAGGGTGAAATACTAAGTTTCAAGTGAAATTGTTAAGTTTCAACTTTCAAGCTCTTTTATCATTTGTGATGAAGAAGTTGATACTTTGTGGAACCTCAAACTAAACCTTATGGACACCATTTGTGAGCTGCAATCAAATTATAAAAAAGATATTCATGAGTGTCCAGGCCAGCTTTTGCGCATTTCGACTATATTCAATTTATTATTCTAATTTGCTAAAGGAATAAGAATAACACTTGTTTGTTACTTGGAGTGAAGTGGAATTGCTGATGAAACTCTCATGTGAAAATTTATGTATTCTATCATCTTTATAGTTATGGCTATCTAATTGGAATTTATGGATATTTCTTTTGTAGCTAACCGTTAGCTTGCTCAAGAAACGTTCATGTGTATATGCTCCTAAAGATAATACACTTTGGCAATGGCTTTCAAAGCAATTTTAAGACGGAAGAGGTTTATTTCTCATTATGAGAACTCCTACATACGAACAATTCAAAGTTTACAGACTGGGCATGTTGGTCAGAATGCATGCTCACATGGTTCCATTTCCAATAATGATGATCCCTCTGCTAATCCTAATAGTAGCATAGGAAGTAGAACCGGACATACTGCTGCGAAAGGTGAATTTCTTAATTTTGCAGGAGTTCAGAAGTTTAGGCAAATATGCTACAGCACTCCTATATCCAATCATGGGGGTTTCAGTATTTCTACTCCTGGTGGAATTGGGTTGATGTCACGAACCATTCGAAATGCTTCTACTTCTGCAGCTAAACAACCTGATTTTGCCAGTGATGAAGAGGAGAACAATGAATTGGTTGCTAAAAAGAGGAAGGAAGCATCTCCAGAGGAATGTGATCAAGCTGTGGAAGGTCTGAGTTCTGTAAAAGCCAAAGCAAAGGCTAGACGGTTACAGGAGTCTCAAAGTGTTGTTACAGCCACTTTGCAAAGATTATGGGCAATCACCTTAGGGATCGGTCCTGCTTTAAGGGCCGTTGCTTCTATGAGCAGGTTAACTTTTTTCTTTGTGTGTTAATGTAAAGTTTTTTTTCTATGGTCAATCTAAATATGATTTATGAATGCTGATCTGGTTCTTTTGATATATTCAGAGACGATTGGGCGAAGAAGCTTGTTCACTGGAAAGAAGAATTTGTATCAACCTTGCAACATTACTGGTTGGGTTTCAAGCTTCTGTGGGCTGATGTGAGGATTAGTTCAAGATTGCTTCTAAAACTTGCTGGTGGGAAGAATCTCTCAAGGCGAGAGAGACAACAGCTAACACGAACCACAGCTGATATCTTTAGATTGGTTCCTTTTGCTGTTTTTATCATAGTTCCATTCATGGAATTTCTGCTGCCAGTCTTTCTCAAATTATTTCCCAACATGTTACCATCAACTTTTCAAGACAAGATGAAAGAACAGGTAAGGCAAGCAGTAACACCGTTAAATGCATAAATGCATGCTGTTTTTGGTGTGTGGCATTGTATCTATTTTAATTTAATCAACGAAATTTATGGAATATAATGGATATGCTCACCCCTTATATCTATCACTAATGAGCTTTCAATAGATTACAGTTTGTTATTTTGTTTGTTTTATATGTGGCTAATTCATTTCCTTATATATCTGTATATACACATAGCTTTCGCTTTCTATGTGGCTAATTATTTTTTGTAGTAATACTTTCTTTATGACGTTACTGTTTCTTTTATAAATTTGAGATAATACAACTCTATCTTCATGTTTGAATATGCTAATTTTGGTTTCCAGTTACATGCATTACAATATTACCTACACTCATAGCCTTATGAATGAGTAACTTGGCTATGGAGGATAGACCCTTTATTTTGGCTGTGGTATGCTTGTAATCAACATGCATCAAAGAGTCCAAAACTCTTGACACTTGCCGACATTGGAATTAGTGTCTTTCTATAAATTTATTTGGTTGAGTTTTTCTTATAAACATTTAGTATTAGGGCTTTTATTTTTTGTTTAATTTATGGGAAGGTTTCAAATTTATTAGAAAACTTGTTCTTCTTAGGCATGTTCTTAGAGATTGAAATTGGAATGGCTCTTGGGAACTGTCTCAAGAAAGGATATTTCTAATTTAGTGTAATTCCTTGATGGATTGGACGAGATTGGAGGCATGCTATATGAATGACTCTTAGATGGGATAGAGTTTTGCCAAGACTAGGTATGGGGAAAATATCTATAAGTAGAAGGGCAGTTGGAGCCAAAATGGTAGAGGAAAATGAGGTGAGGATGGTGATTGCAATTTAGCTTTCTTCCACAGAATTGCCAATTCTTGAATATCTAGGAATTTTATCTCTTCAATTATAACAGCTGAGGCGGTAGCCATTGTGGGTTGGGCTGACCTAGTAGTCATTGGGCCAATGAAATATATAAAGGGCTTAGGGGGAATGAATTGAAACTAAGGTGTCACTTATGTAAGATGTAATATCCCATGACTTTCCTTGGAAACCAATTGTAGTAGACTCAGGTGATTACTAATTGTCTCGTGAGATTAGTTGAGATGTATGTAAGTTGGCGTGTATCATCATCACGAGTGAAAAAAGAAACTGCTGAGACAGTCCCCTTGGGAGGAAGACTGCGAGATTGACAATGAAGTGATTTCCTTTTTCTTGTCCTTGTTTGCGCCTCCTCAAACTTCTTCACTTTTTCTAATAACACCATATGGAGAGAAATATAGAGATCTTTAATTTGTCTATTGATACATAAACTCTGAGGGTGTATCATTTTTCTTTTCCTTCCCCTCACCACTTTTTTTCTTCTTCTTAATTTGTCAATGTGCAGGAAGCATTGAAGAGGAAGCTTAATGCAAGAATAGAGTATGCTAAGTTCCTTCAAGATACCGCCAAAGAAATGGCTAAAGAAGTTCAAAACTCAAGAAGTGGAGAAATTAAGAAGACAGCTGAAGACCTTGACGAGTTTTTGACTAGGGTAATGAATCGATTGGCGACTTTTCCTTATTCTCCTATTTTGAGCATATTTTGTTACACTTGCTATTTGTGCCTGCAGTTGAGAACTGGTGCTCGCGTATCTAATGAGGAAATTTTAGGATTTGCCAAGCTGTTCAATGATGAACTTACATTAGATAACATCAGCAGGTTGTAGCCATGTCTAAATTCTCTTATATGTTAATTAGTTAATTTAGTTTCATACAGAATTAGTGAGGATATGCATAATCTGACCCCTTTGTTTATTTTTATTTTTGTTGTTATCAGGCCGCGATTAGTAAATATGTGCAAGTACATGGGCATTAGCCCTTTCGGAACTGATGCTTATTTACGATATATGCTCCGTAAAAGATTGCAATGGTAATTTTATTCTGCAGCTTCTCAGTACACCTACTTTCTTCTTTCTCCCAAAAAATCTACAAGTGGCTCAGTACATACTTAGATAGAATTAGTCTAAATGATGTGAAAACTGCTACACGGCAAATGAATTGGAAATTGTGTTAATTTGTATCTAAATTATTTTTTCTACAGGATAAAGGAAGATGATAAATTAATACAGGCAGAGGGTGTGGAGTCTCTTTCTGAATCTGAGCTTCGTGAAGATTGTCGGGAGAGAGGCATGCTTGGATTGCTATCGATAGAAGAAATGCGCCAACAGGTTTCTTGATCTCAACCATTTTGCATATCATTTGCTTTTCCTAATTTATTATGAATTGATGATAGAATTTGATAAATTGTATTTGTAAGTCTTAAAGTTTTTGCCACCGGAGGCAGTCGAAAATCGAAAGGGGAAAGTTGTTTGATATGTTGTAAATTGTAAATTGTAATACCAGTGAATTGATAAAATATGAACTTCAATGAGCATGGATAAACTAGAAAGCTAATTTCTTTTCATTAGAAGCTTTAACACTTTATCTTAATAATTTACATGAAGTTTCAAACTAGAGTCTGGTGTTCTCATTTTGTTGCTAACTCCACTTGCAGCTTCGTGATTGGTTGGATCTGTCACTTAATCATTCAGTTCCATCTTCACTTTTGATCCTTTCAAGGTGATTTCTAGTTGCACCAGTTATCTCTTTTCTTCAAAATTTCACCCCAATTTCTTGCTCACATCATCATAAATGCTTGTTTGATACCTTTCTCAGAGCTTTCACAGTATCTGGAAAGTTGAAACCGGAGGAAGCTGTCCTGGCTACACTGTCTTCTCTGCCAGATGAGGTTGTAGACACCGTTGGTGTTACTGCTCTGGCATCTGAAGACTCTATATCAGAAAGGAGGAGAAAGTTAGAATTCCTTGAGATGCAGGAGGAAATGATCAAGGTTGATAGTGATTGGTTCTTTCGGAAAAAATGAAAGGCTTTTGCTTTCTGAACTATTTGAATTCTCCTTGGTGCTTGATATAATTTGTTGCACTAGACACTTAAATTGTCTTCATTCATAAATGGTCATTTTTTGTTATTTCCGCTTTAGCATATATTGTGAATCTTAGAGCGCTTATGCAGATACTCTTACTTGTGAGCTTAGGCAATGCTTGCTAGCTTCTATGGATTTTAAGCTTATATAATGAATATAAAGAGTAGATTTGGTCTCCCGGTTGAAGTCTCACCATATTGTTTTTTACATGTAGGAGGAGGAAGAGAAAGAGGAAGAGGAACAAGCTAAAATGAAGGAATCCAAATCCAGCCAAGAAGATATAGCTATGAAGGAAATGGTCAATCCAATGGCAAGAGAAGCTATAGAACAAGCTAGAGCAAAAGCATCAGAAAAACAAGAGCACCTTTGTGAAGTCAGTCGTGCATTGGCTGTTTTAGCTTCTGCCTCTGTAAGAAATGAAAATCAAGCTCCTGGTCTATTTTCTTAAGTCACCTTTGTTTTTGCGGAACAATTTCCAAGTGATTGGCCTGTTTTTGATCTCATTACTGGTTCTTATGTACATGCAGTCTGTCAGTAGAGAGCGTGAGGAATTCCTGCAGCTTGTGAATAAGGAGGTATACGTCAATTGCATAATATATCTGTTCTCTAGTGCGCCTTGAGCTTTAAAAAAACTGGATGTGCTAAAAAACATAAAACGGAGGTTATTCCTTTGTTATGAGGGCTGGATTAAGCTTGTCCCTGCTCTTTTTGGCCAATAATACAAAAAAAAAAGCTGCTGGTTTTTGTTACATTTTTCGAGGGCATATATCAGCAGACTTGAACTTTCTTCTATTAGCCAAAGAAAAGTACCTTCGTTTATTTTTCATTACTTTATGTATTCATTGAATATTCTTCTGGTAGTAACCACCATATTATATCGTGATATATCTAGATAGAACTCTATAACAGCATGGTAGGAAAAGAGGGCACAGATGGTGAAAAGGAGGTCATGAAGGCATACAGAGCTGCTCGAGAAGAAAGTGATAACTCTACTGTAGTGTCAGAAGAAGATGAAGTTTCATCAGCACTTGTTGAAAGAGTGAGACTTTCCACAAAGATTTCTAAAACTTAATTTGTTTTTTTTGAACTTCTTTGCTCCTTGTAATCTGTAGAATGCTTTTGACTTGACGTTACTTATTCTCATTCTTGGTCTCTTTCAGGTTGATGCTATGCTCCAAAATCTAGAAAAGGAAATTGATGACGTGGATGCCAAAATTGGTGATCGTTGGCAATTACTAGACAGGTATGTTTGTTTCATTATATTTGCCATCATGAAATTCTCTTATCCCTTAGAATGCAACCACTTATTTGCATGATCGGGAATTACCATGATTTGATCCATCCTCTCCAGTGTCCCCTTCATTATTTATCCCCTTTTAAGATCTCTTCCATAATAGCTTGATTGCATAATATTTTTTTTGAGATTTGTTAGTGGAGTGGTTTTTGGAGAATCATCTTTCATTAAGAAGATGAAAGTATATTAGAATTCCCCCTGCAAAAAAGAAAAAAAAAGGTCGGCTGTGACAAAAGGGGTATACAAAAACTTGCAAAAAAGATCCCTACTTTTGGTAATAAGAAATAAAGGCAATTACAAAATAAATTTGAATTAAGAACCAAAGAGAAGTGTTAAAATACGCCACCCTCCACAGTTTCCCACGATTTTATCTAGTCCAAGAATGTTCTCCCATTTCTTCCAACCATATGAAGGACAAAATGATGTAGAGGCTAACTTGCCTGAGAAAGCGACCTTTCCCTTATAAATGCAGATTTGTAATTGCTTCCTCCACCATCTCATGTATGCTGGACCTTTGAACGAAAGATAAACCGCCACAACAATCTCACACTATGGATGTGAAAGCGCACAACACATTCGTTCTTGCCCAAAGCACACCAGCTTGGGTCAAGGACAAAAGAGGAGGCTCTTTGTAAAAGTTTATACTATTGATTTTTTGCAGGGCTGCTACCCAAGCAAAGAACCATATTTCCAGATAGTAGAGAAAAAGATTGGGGAGGAGAGAAAATTAGGGAGGATACCAATCTACTAAATAAAGACTTGCAAGAGAATGATCCTGATGGTTTAAGAGACCAAAGATGATCACTATGTCGGATGGGGAGGATAATTGATTGAGTAAGATTTTAACAGGAGACTAACTCCTCCATCTTGTGATTTCAAAATGCCCTATAGAAATGAAAGTTAAAAGAGGGAGAACTTCCCTATGAGTATATGAGTGAATAACCGTGTGAGTGGATCGGATCTTGAAGGTTGGAGTTACCTTGGGAACTGGAAGACAAGCTCTACGATTTTAGATCCTAGAAGGACGGTCATCGAGTGGATAAGAGTTGAAACTTTGGTTTTCCTTACCAATGGTAATGTAGATTTCTTTTGGGGATCAATTCTGTCTGGGTTGAGGTCAGAGAGAGCAAATTAGGTTTGATAGATTTTGTTGGTTTTTGGGTTTCTCCCTTTACACAACTCTAATATTCTCAGGTTTATATTGCATTGTTGGAGTGTTTATGGGTTTCTTCCCTTAGGTTTTGGGGAGGATAAACGGTTGGAAAATTTTAACTCCTACCAATTGAACTCTAACTCTTTGTATTGGCTAATTCCAAAGAGCTCAGTGTTGCTCAATGCTCGAATTCTAATGCTGTGATGAGCTCTTTGATAAAACTTCGACAAGAATCTTGTACAAACAAAACAAGAGATAAGGCTAATGGGCCTATAATTACCAACGACCTTTGCATCTATCTTTTTAAGGAAAAGGCAGGCAGTGTTTTAAAAAGCTCGAGGCGCATTAAAGCGCAATAGACCTTTGGAGCTTAAGCGCAAAAGAAAGCACAGGCTTTTTTTTTTGCAAGGCGCACTATACATAAAAGATACATAAATGTATATGTATATGTACATGATAACAAACCTTCATAGAAATAAACAAGATATAACATAAGTTATGTAAAAATCAATAAATGCTCAATTTTTAAGGTGTTAAATATTAAGAAATCTATAATATTCAAATAAAAACTAACTTAAATAATTATGTAAGGTAAAATATCAGTAATATTTGAATTTAATAAAATAGAAAGAGAAGTTTATCTTTTTTAATAAATGGGAAAAACTACTTAGGGAAAGGGAAATAATGCTATATGGCAGTTTGCTACCATGCAGGCTCTTGTTTTGTGTGTCTAGAAAAGGCAAAGTCGAATTTAACAAAATAGAGAGAAGTTTCTCTCTTTTAATAAATGGAAAAAAGTACTTAAGGAAAGAGAAATACGGCCATGTGGCAGTTTGCTACCATGCAGACTCTTCTTTTGTGTGTCTAGGAAAGGTAACCTGCTTTAATGCTTTTGACTTATCTACCCTTCCTTTTGCCGAGGATAAATACAATAAATGAGCTTCTTTATTTTTTTCTTAATTATTGAAGAAGGCTCTTGAGGCGCAGAGCTTTGCGCCTCAGGGCTTCATCAGAAGGCGCGTGCCTTCCTATCCTCGCCTCGCCTTTTTGAGGCGAGGCGCTGGGGTCGCGCCTAAGGCCTAGGCGCGCGCCTCAATGGGCTTTTTAAAACATCAGGCAAATGTATGTTTCATTAAGACTGACATTAATGATGGTGCTATGAAAAAATCTTTGAACCGTCTCATGATGTAGGAGTGTTCACGCGTTGGGTTGGGTCGGGTTAAGGGAGTTTTTTGGACTAACCCGAATTGTTGGGTTGGTCATATTAGAGGACCAGCAGAACCGAACATGACGGCCAACCCAACCCAACCCAACCCAACCCTTACATTTTCGGGTCGTATCGGGTCGGGTCACCAGGTTGAGATGAAAGACGGAGAAGAAGAGAGCCGAAGGAAATACGACCTAATAGAGAGATGTGGGGAAAGCGAGATGAGACGACCAAATCTCTGAAACT